CAATAGGTGGTAGTCATCATTTGTTCTACAGAGAAAGAACATTAAAAATATTTAGCTAACAAAGACTTAGTTTAACTCATTTCCAGCAGATAAGTGTCTGTACGCCAGTCTTAAAACCCGTATTTCAGAAACACCAAAGATACGATGTTTCCATAAATAGTCAACTAAGTATAAAACAAGTGAGTCCCTTTAGAATTTAAAATTTATTTTCAATTCGTGATATCTACACTTGTTGGAGGATCAACCAACATAACAGTAATAAAGTGGCCTAAGCTTACTGATAGACACGTCAGTGTGAACGTGTTTCTAAAACTGGTTATCAGTCTTTCTTCATAGCGCTAGACACCTTTTCTTCTTTTTAAACACATCCGATACTTTAAACGTAAAACTTTCTCCATCAGTAATTTATTCATAACTGCTATAGAATGAGAGCCTGAATAATTGGTCACAACAAGTGAAATCACCTGTTTCATGTCTCAAACAATGAGGATAATGTTGTTATTATGCGACGTATGGACCAGTTAACTAACTGGTTCCTATGACGAATGAAACCTAATATTCATATTATTAAAGGTGAAGCAATGAACATATCGTATGAAAACCGTTGTGTCTCTGTGCGCAATATAAATTCACGTAGAAATCAAAACTTGAATAAATGCCTATTAAAAGGAAGATGTTGATTAACGTCTATAAGACATGGGCGTATTCGCATGAAACACTCCTTGTCGTCTGCCTGCGCCTGGTAGAAAACAAATCACTTCCATAAAACACCTTATTGGGCAACACATATTATCCTAAATCTTATCTGATATAAAGAAATTTATCAAAGAGCCTCATTTGTCTGTTAATTTGGTGCTCCACAGAGGATAGGAACCGATTTATGGTCGTTTTGCACCATATGTTTCTATTGGATGGATGTAATCTCAATATCATTTAAGAGGAGACATCTAATGAAATCAAGACCAGAACTCACATTCAAAGAAAGATCACTCCAAATATGTCTATTCTCTGATACAGAGTGATGTATATTGTGTGCATTCGTTTATATTTGTATTAAAACATTTTCATAGCTGATTTTTGTAGTAAACTGCTAGCACCTTATCATTCAAGTAATCGTTAATTAAAGCTATTTTGCGCTGAATTTTCTGTTGTCACTAGAGAAGAATGACGTCATTTCGTAATCTCTTCATAAGTATTTATCACATGATCGATTGACAATCTAATTTTAAAGCAGAATTCATTACAATTTTAGAATTCAATATTCTGCAGAAATTTCTATTAAGCACAAACTGGTGCACAAGTTCTATACTCACGAAAGTTGGTATATTTTACTACAAAGATTGTAATTTATTTATGTGACGTGCATATTATTTTAATGTTCAAAACGCATTCATGGATTTGCGTCAATTAAATGAAGTAACTAGTTTTGATGTGTATAGCCGCTTGAACAGATAAAGAATTACGCTTTATGCAGAATGATTAGTTGAAATTGCATCATTCCAACGGTCGATATTTATCTCGCACCAGGCACGTTTGCCATTTGGAGTGTGTAGAAACATTCCAGGAGTTCCACCCACGTGCATATAATTATTAGCTGATATTTTGTGAGTTATTTTTTATAAATTGGCTATTCTCAGAATCATCATAAACAGTCACCTTCTTTTGGAGTTTATTGTAAAGTACCAAACGTTGTATTTAATGCGACACAGATTGCACGTCTTCGCCTTATTATTTCTTCATAATGAATCTCATTTTACAGCTGAGTCGAAAGTGACATAACAGAGAAAATTAGTTTGTGAGTATCATTTAAATCTGTCGACTCAGCATTTATTTCTTAATAAGACACTTCAGAAACAGAGATGATGAACACCAGATGAATGTATTGACGAACAAACAGAAAAGCTACGTACAACACAGTATCGCAAATCGCTTAAAAGAGAGAATTCACGTGCTTGAGTCTTATCTGCTGAGAAGGAATTTGTTGGAGGATTTCATCATGAGCTGACATCTGTTAGAGAACCATCGGAAAATCAGCCCCACAGGGAGTACTTGACAGCCGTTTCTTCCTAGTTTGTGACTCTTCCTCGATAAGCACCCACCATCAGGTTTTGAACACAGGACCTTCTGGTAACAAGGTCAGAGATCTCGTAGACCATTAGGTCACAGGGACTTGATGCAATGGCCGGCATTTGTATCTAATTTTGAGCGAATTTTCTCTACACCTACCCATAATACTTCCTAGAATTTTAACCCCCCCATATCCTATTGCGTGATTGTGTATTAATTCATACAGTACAATCGCTGAGGTATTTTCGAAATTACTCATCTTTGTGGGATCAACCATTCGTAACTAAGGTGAACTCTTACGTTCTGATAATCTCACTACTCATGATCTACTAGTTTCACAGTTATTGTAAGGTATTTTGTAAATTATATTATCTTGCTTAATTGGGTCAACCTACAGGGTCTTTTAACCTACAGAGCCTGTCCTTGAGTAAACTTGTAGTTTAAATGCCCTTATAATTCTTGCTTTATTTAGAATACTACGTTGAGTCTCAAATGTTCCTTCCCTATATGGTAGAAGCCTTATACTCTTTATTATTTATGTTATCATCATTAGTTTTAGCATTATTTTATTTTCTTTTTTGACATTTCTGATCTTCCAAATTAATTTCATAGGACAGTTATTTAAGAATTACTCTTCTTCTATTTGTTTCTTTTCATCACTTAGGTGCTACTGCTCGGTTTGTCAGACACTTAAGCTGCCTTCACAATTAACGGAAAGGATGAATTAAAGTCTAAGTATGCAATATTAGAATGAATTGACTTTTATAAAAGCTTGTGTACAGTTTACCTGCTATTTGTTTTACGACATCAGCCTCATTCATCTTTACTGCAAATACTGCGATATTTTCAGGCCTTTTCAATATTTGTTTACTAAAAAAATGCAAAGTATAGACCGAACGATTTCAAGAATTTCCTTCAGTGAGCACAGTTACCATGATATGAGTCCTTTTGGTTAACTGTATAAAAATATTTGGTTTTGCTTTACTTTGTGACAGGGCTTGTTGATTGTAGTCTGAAACACGCGAAATCGTAATCACCTGATATCATTCGAATCCGGAAGGGTGTCGTCAATGTCGACTTCACCAATGCTTAAACAATATAACTGAATTATTGGATATTATTCTTTCAAGCTAGAAGTATTCATATATGATTTGTTGACATGGATTATTATTAATACCTTGGGTTCTTAGTGGAAAATAGGGCTTCAACAATACATCTCTACTTTTGTATATTATCTGCTGTTCTGCTCAGCTAATCCATAGACTGACCATAATCTGTCATCTACTCCTTGCGCAAACTACTCCATATCATCCTTGATAAGAAGACTCACTTGTTGCTTCCCATTAAGATTACACTCAATCAGTCGCCTGCATTACGCGTGACGTCATCCGATGGCCACCTCTACGTATGCCTGATCCATTTCCTACATATTTATGGGGCGATTTGCTCTTTTTAGTGTGTTCCTAGCCAGAGTTTCTTGTTGTCATCTCTTTCTGGCTGGCCAGACATTTGATCTTTATTATGGAGCAAGCCAAAGCAGCTGTTGATAAAAGTCTAGACAAATTTCTGACTCGTGTATAAGAACTGACTACATTCATATTTGTGTTGGAAATTTGAATTTCGTTCTTGATGCTGGATGACAGCAGAAGATTTTCAAACTGGCTTTAGGTTGATAAAGATGTATCTTGGCTTTCTGATTCTAGCTGGCTGGTGTTGACATATTCATTTTTTCAGGCTATCGTGTTTCCTGCCCGGATAAATGAAGGAAGTAGCATATTACAGATCTCTCCCTTTGGTAGGAATTGGCGCTGATTGTTTCTGCTCTTGGTTGATAATCTCCATCCTCCCCATCTCCTCTACAATCACCTGGAAAATTGCCTTTGCTGCTAGCCTCTTCTTGCAAGTTTGTGACTTTTTGACCGTAACTTTTCGAGTTTTTGTGACATCAAACATTATTCATCCACACAGGAAAATCATATCTAGAGTTTTCTTATCGGTCAGTGAAAGGAATTTGTGTCTTCTCACTCCCATTGTGCAGTTGGACGCATATTACAGTTAACCACAACAATGATCACTATGGTGATAATAGGCTCCGTGTTCATATAAACATTCTCAAATACATTATATAGTCAAATGAAAACCTGCAACTTTGTAGTGAGCGGAGAAGTAGTTTAAGTAGTTTTCCATATGCGTTAACAGTGTCATTTCCTTCCACCAGAACACTGAGTATTTCTGTTGTTCAAAACAAATCTTTGTCTATCTTATTTGCAAAACGTTTCTGAAAGAGACTATTTTACGCTGCTGAAATAAAATAATCATTAGTTCCTTTTCATATCGTGTTTCCTCTCTGCGTGTTCAATAATCAGAAAACTGTCATTATCTCTGTTAGACAAACCTAAAACCAGTTTTGTAAATGTACACTGACACTAAATTACCAAAATATACTACGTGAGTGGCTTTGAAAAGTAAAGCTTTATTTGAGACCATTTGACCGAAACGGATCACGAAGTAACTGTACACTCTGAGAGTTGGTTAATCTTAACGAATGCAATGTATGGCTCGAATATCTTTTATTACGCCGACTTAATTTGATAATGAATACACACCTTTGCGCCTATATTTAAGTTCCACACAATTTCGTTTTCTAACTAAGCAGTAGTTCGTGTGAGCGTATAACAAATCTACAAGACATACTAATAAATTATTTACGACGTTTCACCTTTCTGTCTTGTACATTATAGCAAATAGAATTTTATCATGTCAACAGCAATTAATTTGGTGTGTTTCACGTGACGTTAATCAGTGCAGTTCTAATGCACACCAATCAGCGACTAGACAGAAGGGAATATAAAGCCACTAACTATTTGTCTCGTGGTAAAATCACACAATTGTTAAGACACAGAATGTTTAGCAAAACATGGATGACTATCGTAATGTCGTTTTTCTTCTGTAAGTTGATTCTCGTTTTTACAATGAATGATGGTTCATGCAATACAGCACGTTTATTTTAATTTCAGCCAGCAAAGTGAATGTGATATATTGGTTTTTAACTTTTACTTTATCATAAATGTAATATTCTTTAATCATTTTTCAGATATCATGTTTCTGCCATCATCTGAATCAGCTGGCCTCTTAAAATGGTTCTGTAAGCTATAATAATCCATTGTGATATTTTAGTATATTACTGTTTAAACAGAGTGAAAACATCCACGCAATACCAGAAAACGTTTGCTAGATGAACAGTCACTTCTTTTCATCCGCCTAATTCAGCGACGATGTGACATTACTACTCAACATACTTATGTGGTTTACTCAGGAAAATAATTCCTACTATTAGTGTCATGGGAACTTTAACTCTTCGCGAATCTGACAGTGATCTACTTATCAATAGATATGCATCTGTCAATTAGTTTTTTAGAATCAAGTTCCCTTGTTTTGCATAGTATTTCATCAGATTTCCGATCCCGTTTTCTGTTATTTTCACTTTCGATAACTGGTTTAAATGAAAGAACTGTGATGTTTGCTTCAGATTATCTTCCATCATGTTGTCGCTAAGAAAGTTCGGTGCCTTTTTAAGTCCACTGAAACAAATATCTATGTATGTAAAGTAAATTTCCTGCAAATACATGGTAATGACAATTGATAATATTAATCTAAATCATGGTCACAGAAAACTTCATAAATTTCGCCGTATGTACGTTCAGTCACAGTTGCCAGCTTCTACTACAGAAAATTATGAAACTCACACAACAATACCATCCGAATTATATTGTATTTTTTATGTTATTTATTCCTGAAATACTGTAACGTATTTTCACATTTTATAGGTTCTTTAGTTAACATCACCTGGCTTTGTACCGGTAAGAATCTGCTTGTTTTAGCCAACTATTCGTTTTAAAATATTTATAAATTATTGGGTGAATCTCAGCCAATAGAAACTATTAAAGTCTAATCTCAGTCTCCTAGCTAATCGATGTAACTATGGTACCTCTATGTCAGTTGCTTCAGTACTATTTTCTATAGGGTGTGAGTGGAATCCTTCGCATCCCACAAACGTGTTTCTTATAAAAATTCAGCTAAATTTCACTCTTCAAGCAAACATTTGCATAAAATCCCATTCATTTGAACAAAGAAACAAAATCGATACAAAATACTGTTAATGTATTTTCCCACTTAATATTACTTGTCACACTATGGAGAGACCAGCTGCATTACCACCTTGAGCGAATGCCCTCCTACTTAAAGATGCGGAGAAATGTCCTTATGCGATGCACAGTTATTACCACGTGCCAGCCATGCAAAACTGAAGATCTTCATTGAGGAGATTTAGATAAGACGGCTACGTGCTTAGGCCATACAAAGACCCTAGAACTGCTTTCAGCAGAGGTTAGCATCCACCATTCTTAGTATGCCAAATGACATCAAACATCATATCTGTTATGGATATCTTCCACAAGAAAATTATTTTACGCTTGTTATAAAAACCATTTCTTGTGACATTATGCTCAGCATTTCTATGCAAAAAACATGCTAAAAAGGATTTGGTGGTTTGTCAGTTCAGATGCAACAGGCACCATCTACAATTTATGTTTTGTTTGCGAAATTTGCAGCCATCGAATAGAATATGAAACGATGGAACACTGGACTATCAATTATGGAGATGATTTCAGACTTACTGTACTGAAAAAGCTTACTGGTTTAATTCTTGGGCTTTCGCTGTATTTTAAAATGAACTGTTTGGAATTAAGATACGTACAAAAAGAAGTAGGTTGTACATATTGTAATTGAGATTTTGATTACGGAGATCTGCTTAAATCGACTTCTCAGGTACTACGTGTATTCTGATACTGAATAAAGTCATCACGAATTTTCATATCCCTATTTTAATGTTTCCGGATATTTCATTAAGAAAAAAATTCACTTAACAGAAACACTTTTTGAGGAATGTGGAACGGCTCCATCAATTATGATATCACATCTGTTCATTTGATGAATATACGAAAAGGAGGTCCGGTTGGCACATGAGCCTTGAAAGTTGGTTGGCCAGGATATAATATAGCATGTTTGATGGCGTTTGTTGGAATAAAGTTATAACCCAAGTTTCCGTTATCACTGAAGCCATTTCCAAATGACACCAAATATGATTCCCGCAATACTCACTTAATATTCATATTAGGCTTTCAACCTTGATTTTCATTTAGTAACAAAACATATATTGTATAGTTATTATTAAATTTAACAATTTGATGATGAGTTAGAATCAATAAATTTGCAAAACAATGAACTACTTTGCTTCATTTATAGAAGGAACACAGAAAGCTGTGGTAAGCGTACATATATTTTCTAATGAAAGTGAGATGATATGTTTGATATCGACGATGCATTTCACAACCAAATAACTGAATCAAAATTGGTTTGTATAACACCTGTAATAGTGGGCCACTATTTGTTCGATATTCAAGTATTGCCTTGTAAGGATTTAAATGATTGGTTAAGAAAATTTTGTCGTGAGCTAACATCGTTTAGAAAACCATTGGAAAACCTGAGATTACTAAACAGCTTCTCCGTCCAAGTTTATGACTCTTGAGTAGTACACACCTACCGGGGTTAGAACTCAGTAATTAATGACACGATAATTATTCAGAAGTCTCAAAATCCCTTCTCAATGTTCTAGTGAACTACGCTTAAAATCCTTTGTCATCTCCAGCATTCGCTTCTCTACTTCGTTCGCCGCAGTACTTTATAATGCTTGACAGAATTTCAGATACACAATATCGTACTTGATATTGACTTTAATTACATTCTTATGCATTTCTTATGTTTAACGTCGCAGTAAATGTCGTAAATGTGAAAGAGTGTTAAGTGATGATCATATTCCTGAAATAACCAGATCTACTTTTGCCTCATTTCATTCAAACTACATAGAATTCAATGTCAGTGAATTATATCAGTTTACTTGGTGGCATATCTGTTTGGAGTTGCCTGTAATCTTTCATGAATATCCATTTGTAAGAGGTCACGAAAAGGACCAAATCTAACTGATATTTTTTAAATCACACAAGACAGAATGGAAGTACTGAAATTAAGGACCACCCAAACACGAAAATACCTAATGTGGGTTAGGTCAAAAGAATACAAGCTAATATTATAATTAAGGTAAAAAGGTCAAAGATAAACTGTATTAATAAAAACTACGTGAAATATTCAAATAATTATCAACATTTTATTATTTATAAGGTGGTTTTCAAGTGAATGACTATGCTACACACATTATATATTTGATACCTTCGTGAAGTAATTGTTAGTGGTAGCCGTATCACATATGAATTCTTAAGTGAATTTCAAATACTAGTGGGCGATAAACTTGCAGATTCTCACCCTTGTGAATCCGTCATTCATCGACTTTAGTTTCGAAATCTTCGATTTCCTTTCAAAATTTTATAAACGTAAACATAAATCTCATACTAGACCACTTCATGAAAAATGTTTATTTTTATAATAGTTGTTACAAAAAAGAGTAAATCAATTCTGTTACATTCATCATTTATTTAATAACAGCTCAAAACAGCTGCGCCAGCGTCAGAAATTTAGTTTTCGTGACGTTTGGCCGAAAAATTAATTGAGAAACAGTGGTCGTAAACTTTTAATATGTCATAATCGATATTTCAACTTTTACGTGTTAATTTTAAATTCACTGAAATTGACAAAACGCTCCTGCGCATTATCTGTATAAAAACTTGGTTTTGGCGATTGGACGAATGTTTGGTGAATAACTTATTTGATATTCAATATAAATTAATCGTTTCACATTTACTGATTATACGATAGGAGGGTGTTGAAGCGCAGTTGGTAAGTTTCATTTTTTGGCTACTTGGAGCATTTCCAAGTTATGTCATGAAATTATTTTCATATTATTCAAACTATACACCTGAAAATAGCACATCAACAGCAAGGTTACCAGTAAGAAGCTGCCGGAAGGAATTATATGAATAATGGTAGTCCCAATTTTAGATTTAAAGGATGATTAGTTGAGTAAAAGCATTGACACAAATAGAAAACTTTAAATATAATGATGGCCCACACTGATGCCTTCCAGGATTAAATGGATCTACTTTCATTTTATAAGCTTTTACAATTCACTGAACTGATTACCACTGAACTTTATTTTACGGATGGTTTGTATGATGATAGGGAGATAAATCACTTGTTGTAAGTCGCTATGATAACCTTTTTAGATTTTAATACTACTACAGCTATGTGTAGCTGTGTTTTTAAAGTTTTTTTACTCGCTTCACATAACATGCTCTTAAATCTATTATCGTAAACGCAGTATACAGACAGACTCCTCATAAAGAGCAAGCAAGATCAGATATGACATCACAGAAATATGATGCTTACTTTGGTATGAAAGATATATGCTGTCTAAAATAAGGTTTTACTCCCAAGTATAGTAGGCATAAAATGAGTGACCTACTTCTCCCTTAACACGAAAGGAACTAGAGGAGGCTGTCTTCTATCTCCATTGATTTTCCTAATTGCGGTAGACTGGATAATGCGACAGACGGCAGACATCGAGTAGACAGGCCTGAATTGGACCAACATAAAAAAACTTGGTGAATCTGTTCTTAGCCGATGATATATGTCTGATTTCCTACAAACTGGAAGATATGCAAGTAAAGAGTAACAAGTTGGCGGTAGAAGAAGCATCAAAGAAAGGCCTTCAGGTGATTATAGATAAAACAGAGGTGATGAAGAATCCTGGCCAACAGTAACAGTAAAGACAATATACGATAATTAATATAAGTGGGAGAAATGTGAAACAGGCAAACTTCGTTACCTACCGCCTCAGGAAGCATCGTTTCAACTACAGGTGGATGGAAGTGACGAGGATATCAAAGTGAGCATTGGGAAATTAAGGCAAGATTTCACTTTTCTCAAATCTGTGTTGAGATCAACAGCACTCAGTCTTGAAATACATGATCCAACTCCAATATGAAGTCCGTGCCACTATACCGAAGAGATACTTGGCGCGTCACAAAGAGCACTTGAAACAAACTTCATACCTTCATTAACAGCTGTCTTCACTCAACACTCAAGGTCAGATGACCGGCCAGAAAAGATCAGCAACAGGAATCTCTGGGAACGCACCAACCCAGCAGGAACCGATTGTGCAACAAATATGCAGGGAAGGAGTGTGGCGAGTTAGTCTTCAGTGCAATGATGACAAGGAGGAGATTATGCAACGAGGGAATGAAAGAATTTAAATCAGCGTGGAGGCAAGTGAAATTTTGGTAGATAACCAAACGCAATAAGGAGGTGCGGGTGAAGCTCCATGCCTTTCCGGGAAATAAAGGAGTCAGTGATAACAATAAGCTGAAAATGAATGATATCGAATTTTTTATATTATAAAAAATTATGTACCTGTCTTTCAAAATGATTAGACTGACACATACACTTTCTTATCTAATTGGTCATATTTGATTCCTATTTCTTAATTTTTCAACCTTTTCTTTATTTCTGCATCGATATATCTAAGAAGAACAATAACTGTAAAATCTTAAGACAATCACGTATTTTTATTGATGTCGATGCTATGACGAAAATATATTCTCTTAATATCAGATTCTCGTTTGAATTTCTGATGGAAATCACAGAGATTGATACAAAAGTGGTTAAGGTTCTCACTTGACTGCAAAAGATGAAATATCTCTCACTAGTTACATTTAGTTGATTTAACATGCAGTGATGCAGTATTAATTACTGAATGACGTTTAAATAACAATTTATCGCCCATTTGATATGATTATGAGGAACAAATTCTGCTCAAAACATCATCGTTTAAATAATACTGCATCACTGCGTGTTTAACGAAATAAATGCATCTACTGTGGAATTACATTATCTTGAAGTGAGTTCGATTTAATTGATGCACTTTTTGACAACATATCTTGATGAATAAAAAAATCGCAGTACTTTCACCGAAGAAACTGTGGATTACGATGCTAAATGTCAAGGAAGATCTTGTTTCAGTTATCTGAACACTCCCAGTTAATTTTTATTTTTTCAGTCTCTTGTGGTGAGTACATTTTTCCAATATATATTTAACCTGTATGGTATTGATATTTATAAATAACTAACTTCCTACGGTTTCAAACACAGAACGCTTAATCGACTTGTATGAAGCATGTTTGAACTCATTAAGTTAAACACATTAACATTTATTATGCTAATATTTTACAGGATATCAAGGTGACACTCAGCTGTTCAGATGTTCTTACAACTGCTTCATTGCGTGAATTATTTATTTTAATTGAGTTTCCCCAATATAATTTTGCTTCCGAAGTTACAATTTTTAACACTTTCACAATTGAAAGATTATTCACAGGAAACAGAACACATGCAAATAATAACGGGTAATAATTCCATGAAGGTGGGATATCTCAGAGATAATAATAACTAACCATGTTACTGCTGCCTTCAATTTCTGGTTTGCTTACATTCAAAGGCTTTGAATATTAAGCAAACCTGCTGTTTCTGAAATATGCTGAATAACCACGGAGGAGTCATCATTAGTGTGTTGAGGACTAAATCAAAGGAAAATGCAGCTTGATTTGCATTTGAAATAATAAAGGATAATAGAGTATTTTTCTTTGAACGAGACATTCATATTCGATTATTTCTTCTTCTGAATCTGTTGACTTTTTCCTGTCTCATTAAGTTACACACCTAATGTTATTATGGACAACATGAAAAAGCGTCATTGATAACAGAGAATGTGAAGTTTATTTCTGCCAATTTCAAGTCCTTTTGTGTTTGGTGTTAAGTAACACTGGGGTTAATTCTATTAACATTTCACCTTACTTTTTTAAATACAAATAGTTTTAGTAGTGAGTTAATGAGTTTACTTGTTGCAAATTATCTGGTATATACGACTTTGTTTGAACTGAGAGCATAGCCCATCCCTTTGCAAACATTCCTGCAATTTGGTTGAGAATGATAAACGGACTGCACTATCACCGCAGTAAGCCCTATTTCCACCTAACAGGTACAACTTAAGATTCGAAATCACTTAGAGTTTTAATTTCTTTTTGACCAAGAAGCATAACTTACCAAGTGGACATAGGAAACTTTTAGAATAACCAAGTGTTCTCAGATCAGTATTTCACAAGCCAAACATTTCTGATAATTTGGTTTCAAAGGAACTCTGGAGATGTTCTGTGATAAAGAGTTTGAAATATTTATATATATATCTTTGCCTGATCTCCATCACCTAATTTAAAATATCAGTTATGCCAATTTGAAATGACCGATTTCGTGTATCATTTGAGCGATATATGTCGTAAGACTATGTGTAGTTGAAATGTTTCACAATTTCAGAAGACTGATGATGAAAGCACATTTTTACATTTATGCTTTTGATTTTCCACTTCAACAGATAATGTACAAGGTTGTCCATAAGGGTAAACATACTTTTTTATAGAGAAAGAAGGACCAATTTTGTTGCATAAATTGATATTATTCTTTTTCACAGGCTGTCATCAGCTGCAAACTACGTGAAATTACAATGTATATCAATAAAAACATTTCATACTTCACTGTTTTAAAGGCAACAGATGAAACGCCATAAGATGAAAGCATCCGAAATATAAGTATAACAATTTTTAGTTTAGGTTACAATCAATTTGTATACTATCAAACTGTGAAAAAAGGGGGGCGAGAGAAGACAAAAAAAGGAAAAATCTAATAGACAGTGTCAGCTTGTACGTAAGCAATGGTAACTCAAGATGGTTAAGGTTTATCAAATCGAAAAATTGCTTAGTGATCTGAGTTCACTAATTTGTATGAGTAATCAGTGTAATGAAATCAATAATGTTACCGAAGGGAAGGAGAGGTTAACTACACTCTCTTTCTGTGTGTTTAATTTTGGTCTGAGAAGTTTGATTGTAACTCCTTCAGCAAATCGTAGTAGATTCGCTGTGCTTTGTATGTTTATTATTTTGAAGGATTTGCAATTCAATCCGTGATTGACTACTATTCTTGAAAATTCAGTGAAACAATAGTTTACAGACTTTTTTGTACAACGAGTTTACGTGGTCTCATAAATGAAATTACTCTTCCATATGGGATCAAAATCTACTATTTCTTTCGCTTGTAGGTCGCACTGAGTACACTATGACTGATAACGTAATGAAATTTTATCTTCCACTATCTGTTGGCAGTCAGGTTACAAATAATATAAATAAGGTTTTCACTGAATAATGTTTTCACCCACGATACATTTCGTATGTAGACTGAACGAACGCTTTCATTTCCTCAATTAATTTTGTTTATACTTTTACATCAGTTATGTTTATTTTCTCACTGAAAACGTTTGTTTATAAGAACGATTACAAATCTCTTGTTCTCCGTCTGTAATTACGAAAGTTCACTTCTAAATTTTCTTGTAGACTGAATTGATTTAGCATAGCTTTTTATTTACAGAAAGCATATCATTCAGTTATTTGATCCTAATGATAAGATGATGCGAAAACAAATTATCTTCGACCTGAAGCAATAAATATATTAAATGTGAACCAATCAGCCGTTTAGTGTAACACAAGTGAGACGAATGTGACTGAAAGGTTTTGAAAAGAACGTAGAAATATTCACAGAGATGTTTTAGCTATCCACATTTTGAGACATTTATTCGTTTTCTTTTAGAAAATATTTTCACAAAAGCAATTAGACTACTGATAAGTAGTCAGTTAAATACTTAAAAAATAAACAATCTACAAATAGCTAGTGGATGTTACTAATAACGTTGGAAGTGACATAAGCTCCTTGCTGGTCCAAATAAATTTTGCTCTCTCCTCTCAATAAGGTTACAAGCAATTTCGTTGCGATATAAAATTCAGGAATTATTTGCATTGTTTTCTATAGATGGGTTTTTAGGATAAGTTTTGTTTTACGAGTTGATCATGGATTGATGTCAGTTTGAGAACCATTGAAAAGCATGAAGTACTGGTCAACTTTTTCATCCTAGTTTTAGAATCGTCGGCAGTTCGAGCGCAGGACCTTCCGGTTACATTATGGAGCATATTTGCCGTTTTCATTCACAGTGTAACAAGAAAATTCCATAACACAAAAAATCACTTTCTGTCTGATTAAATCTGACATGCTTAACTGTTTATTAAAAACTAACTTGAAGGCGAAGCACTTCGTAAATGGTTATTACGAATTCGGGGCGAAATTTCCATGAAGGACGACAAATGGTGCATGGAACATGGAGACAGATATTGTTTATACATGGGAAATTAGTGAATTTTGGTGCATGAAAGTTGACAATGAATTTCTTCAACTGCGTCATGCAGTTGTCTGGAATAGAGCGGCGTCAAGTGAGATATTGAGATTCACATTTGCGTCCAAATATTACTGATAGTTTGGTGTATTTATACACTTTCATGATGCAGGGAGCTTATCAAAGATGAATACTCTTTCCAGTTTACTTGTGTGTCTGTCGGAATTTCAACTACAAGAATTTTGTTAGTGATAATTTTATCGGACAAATAATGCATGAGTTCCAAAATGCGAATTAGAGAAAGTGGAAAAGACTAGCTGATATATTCAGTTTTAACCAATTAAATTATATAACTTTTTCTTTATGGAAATATGCGAATTCTTCATCGAATTTATCATGTTGAGATCTAATAAGGCGAACAGAATTCCACGCCAATATTGTTGGAGAAAGGGTTCCTAATGAAAACCGTCATTGATGTTTTGGTATTGGACGGAGAGTTTATTATGTTTAATTAACTTTCTGCGGTCACCTGCTGTATGGTTTTATTCCATTCATACTTTCATCACCTTTGTGAAATCTGATTTACAGGATTAGTATTTTTTTGACCTTTACTCGATATTTGTTGATAAGATACAGTAGCCATTCTGTGGTTTTCTCTGTTCACAGTAGGATTTATAGACATAAGAATAAACGTATTTAAAAGTCTTGAAGACTTTTAAGCAGATAATACACATAAAACTTTGAATGGAAGGAAATGAAATTATTAACATTATTATTTACACCTTAGAAATAAAATCGAGTTATAGTGCCTGATACAGAGCTTCATCAACAGCTATATTCGCTCAGTACTCAAGATCAGATGATCGGTCAGAAGAGATCAGCGAAAGGATCTCTGATATTCAACCAACCAGGAAACGGTTGTGCGTCGGTGGGACAGTGGTTCAGAATCTCGCCGACCATGCACATGGTTCGAGGTTCGACTCTCTGCCTACGCACACCTGATATCTATGGTCGGCCTGCAAAATTTGGGCTACCAATATCCATGCTGAAAATTCCATACTTGTACCAAAAATACAGTGTGGAATCAAGCTTTAATCAAAAAAAATAAACATGCGGTACGAAACGGAGATTGATTGTCCGTATTTTGAGAAAACCATAAAGTGACATCACTCGACAGGCTGTTGAAAAAAAACCCGAATTGAAAGCGGCGAGTTGGACGTCAGAGCAACGATGACATAGAGGGGGTCACGTGAAGAGCAGTTGAAAGCATGTGAACAGAGTTGGAGCCTGGTGGGGACGTTGACAGAGAATCGGACGAAATGAGGACGTGCGGATGATGCCCATTGTTCCTCTAAGAACTAAGGTAAACTTGTGCTTTACTATGCGGGGAATTATGCCACTGTTAAATATTTTTACTTCATTTGGTTCATGCATGATTGATGAAATTAAGTTAGAGTGAATTCACAAGTTTCCTGGTGAATTCCAAGTCGTTCCTGCTGTAGAACGACTACAATTAAAATCAGATCTTGAGAAAAATAACGTGTACTTAGGGAATCATCAGTGATGGAAACTTAAACAAACGTATATTTGTGTAGTATCACTGTCGAAATATTTAAGAGATGAGTCATAAATAAGCTTAGTTATAGATCTTGAACTTTAATGTTATTTATTACTATTGATGTTAACTGATGTCACCCTTGAAATATCGTTGAAACATCCATACTAGCAGCTTGGATATCAACAGTGTATGAAAAATTTATTCTATTTAAATCAGTCAATATGAAACTGAAAATATATACGACAAATATCAACTGATTTCCAACAGACATGAGATGGATATCGAAGCTCAGTAAGCTAGTAGGTCATGCCAAAACAACTGATGCCGGGTCACGTCCCACATGAGTGTCATTCCTCACATAAATATACACGTATTTCAGTTGAACATGTTGGTGAAACGCACGTCTTATTTTCCAGGCAACAAAAAGACTTATGTTACATAAATTGCACTGCAGTTTTAAGTTTCTGTATCGAATAAGTTGGTCATTCAGGGTCCTGTCACTAGCTCAACACTCAACCGTCTCATATTTCCTTGGCTCAAAGCCAGCCTAAAAATATTGACCTGATATACTGGGTGAGAAATACATAGGATCAAACCAATGAAAAACGTATTACTCAACAAGCGTGCAGAATGAAATGAGGGTGGTTTAGCAGCACTCAAGAGAAACCACTACTTGACAATGTGTGCTACGCAATCGATTAGCACTGATTTGGGGTCCAAGATTGACATGAAGGACATCATGTTTTAAGGGAGATGAAAGCTTGTGAGCAATAGAAGGGGTTACTGAGGAGGAGTGAAGAGAACAGAACAAAGTGAAGATTTACTATTTCACTCCTGTCTTTCACTCGGAACTCGATGGAATAATGTGTATGTACATGCATCAGTTTGTTCATAAATTTGGAGCGTTCTGATTCTGCGTTGTTTAATTCATTCATTTATGAGTGTTGAAGTAACTTTGATTAAGGAAGGAAAGATAGTTGATTAAATCACACGTTTTATCCTAAAAAAATTATGAAAATCCAAATTTGTGTGCCATAAAGACATAACTTTACTCGGTTTGCTGGGGTGTCAGACTTTAATATAACTCAACCATTTGTTCTCTCAAACTGGAATAATATCAGTACGCATAATTCACTGTAAATCAGCATACATATCCACCAGAAACTATTATATAAATTTGTTAAATATAAATTCACTTTGAAACCAAAAGATGGTTGACTAAACCTTGTGCTGAAGTCGTCAACTGATATTTGTTTGAACTAATTTGTAGAGATTGATTTCATGAAATTCTTTTACAGACAGAGTCAAAACTGAAGGCACAATAAGCATCAACAAAGCTGTTCACATACAATGTGTAATCATTTTATAGGTAAAGGCATTTAATCAGTTCAGTTTAAATAACAGTACCTTGTTCAGAGTTGTGATCAACTTGGTTCTGTGGCATACTGAACCTATCGTTTTTCCCAGGAATTTCAGCAGTATTATCACTGGATTGTCTGCTCAATAATATCAAAAATGTCCTGTTCAGAATTTCTTTTATCTTCAAGACTCTTAATGAAAACGCCAGTTTGAATTCTAATAAAATGATGTTTCAGAATAAAGCAGAAAGATGTTAGAGAATTAAAATCACAAAAATTGCGTTTCATACATTTCAAATATTTTAGGTGAATATGATTGATTGCTGAAGCCAGCGAACATTCTGGTATATATCTGCTATACACTGTAGTGCTGTTTGTTCCCACCATTTCATTTGCAAGTATCTTCTTCAGTTGTTACACGATGACGGCTATCATTATGAGCACTGTTTTATAAGCATTTTTGGATGTATTCAAAACTCTGCAACCTATTGCTTGCAAACCAGCTTCCACTGAAATAATCCACTGAATGATTGGATTTCTCAACAGCGAGGAGCAATAAAATAGTAAATGGTTGAAATAAGATAAAACCTACACATTTTTCTCCAAAGCTCATATGCTTGTGAATGATATCTAAGTTTTCACTCGGCATATGTTAGTTTTTAAATAGCATTGAATTTAAGTCGGTATCAAAATACATTATTACTGGTAAATCTCCATTTATAGAATAAAAATGTATTGTGACGTTTAGTGTACCTGTTCTATAAAAATGGTGCAGGTATAGGAAAATAAAATTCATTATTGTCATAGGATTACGATCTCGTTCTTGCTGAGCAAAATATAAAGTTGCGTCAGTCGAAAGAGACTGAAACTCGGATAAAGAACCAGCCAAGAACATATTACACAACAATTACGCCGAAGAAAATGCAAATGGATCATTCAATCTCTGAGATGCCCGTTAATTGATCCTACTCGTAAGGTCGTTGATTACTTTCATTTTTACTAAATATCATTCCGCATGTATCCGTTGCAGCGTCATTTAGAATTTGAGTTCAAAATAAATATATCA